GTACACAAGCAGTTGCTTTATCTGGGGAAGGAGTCCTTAAAACAATGGGGGAGGAGAATTGAGTGCAATTTTATTTTCTGGATGAGACATGTTGATGGAGCTGGTAACGTTGGAATCGCTTCTCCCTCTCCTCTTCTCCGGAGACAGAGCCCGTCATCTGGGATAACCCAAGGTCAAGTGGTTTCTCCTTCATTAAATTGGCTAGGTCATTATGATGCTGGCTCTGAACTTGTTTTACTGTTTCCAGAGACTCTAGAGAGGAGCCAAAGGAAACACTTCAGGCTGGTAGGAGAAATAAGTTTCTGGCTCTTGGTAAAGACCAAGAGACAAGGTTGACCAAGAGTTCACAGTTCTTCCATGCCCACCACACATCCTCTGTTGGCTCAAAATGTCCAGAATGAAGTAAAAATGCTTTGCCTGTATCTTTATTTATTTATTCATCAGCATATGCGTGGCACCTTTCTCTTAGCACAAGGCTGACAGGTATTTTTGGAGTTTCCCAATCTTAGGGCAAGTTTTTCTCCCACTCTTGTGGCACTGTCTGGCCTCAGTGCGGAGTGCATGAAGCTTTCTGTGATACCTTGAAAGCACCTCAGGCGTGAGAACTGCTGGAAAAATGAATGGAAGAGGCATTGGTGAACAAAAATATGTTTAGGAGCAGCTCAAACAGCCCAAGCGGGGGCTGGGAGGTTTGGGCAGCAGCTGGTGGGATGGGTGTGATTCAGATTTCGGTGCTGGGCAAGGTGCCTGCCTTGGCACTGAGCCTGCCACGTCGTCAAGGTGAAACAGCTTCTGCTTCCTGCCCTTTTCCTACCTGTTTGCTCTTTTGGGCAGAAATTTATTTCCCTGTCAGTTTTGGGCTGTCCCAGCACTGGAACCCAGCTCACACTCACCAAAAAAGAACAACAGGTGTTAAATTAAGCATGATGTACCACATCTGGCAATAGCCCTGTAAGCAACAAATAACACAAACCTGGCACAGTTCTTAAACCTGAATGATTAAAATGAAAAAAACAAATCCATTTCAAGGTATGCAGCTACAGAGCTGTGCCGTATGTGTGGGTATAAACACAGAACTGAATGCGCACATACTGGGGGACATGGAGATTTGCAAAATATGGGGGATTTTCTGCATGTTGTAGTGGGTTGGAAAAAAGAAGAGAAACCAAGAAGTGCCAGTTTTTCCTATCACATTTCCCTAAATGTCACACTTTTAAGGGATCAAGATCATAAATGCATTGTTACAAATGTAAAAAACATAGAGAAAATTAAAAAAATGAACTTAATTTACACAGATAAGAATTATTAGTGGAGTCAGGCTTATAAGGTCACATTTACAGTGCAGGAAAACAAAAATTGGGCTTTGGGTTGGGGTTTCCACAGATTCAAGAAGAAAAGGAGGAAGGAGAGGGCTGCTGGGGCTTGTTCTAAGAAATAAACAGAATTTTTTTCCATCACCCTCTGGAACACTAGCAAAGAGAGACGTAACGAAAAGGAAAGCTACTGCTTTCTCCCCTCCCTGACTCTCTTTTTTGGATTCCTTAAAGAATAAAGAAGCTGCCCACATGCACCAGGATGTCCCCAACATGGAGAGCTGGCCCCAGTCCATGGGATGCCGGTTTCAGGGAGAGCTGGGGGGGGTCAGAAAGCTCATGGCCCCCTCAGATGCTGACTTATAGCTCACCTTCGTGCACGAAGGGAAAGCAGAAATCTCTCCTTTTCACCCTGTGCAGCATTTTTGCTCCTCATCATGATCCACGGTGGCTGCCCAAGGAGCACCCAACCTCATTGCCCCCAATATTGGGGTCTTCCCAAGAAAAGGGGTGGCTGGAGCCCAGGAGAAGCCCTGGGGAGGTTTGTGGAGTGGTTGTTGCTCGTTCCTGGTCTTGTGGCACCACCCAGTGGCTGCTGGCAGAGTATTGTCACTCCCTTGTCTCCAGCTTTCAGCCCAGCTCCCCACGGCCCTGGGGACCATGGGGGCCCCCGAGCGGCCCCCGGGGCTGATGTCTCGGCCAGTTCCTCCAGGCAGGTGGACTCTGGGACATTGCAGGTGTCTGCGGCCTGTAGAGGGGCACAGGGACAGAGAAGGGGAGTGTCAGGGCTGGATATCCCTCCCTATGTGCCCCCCTGCTACAAAGCAGCAGCGATTTCCTCTCCATCAGGCTGATATGTGAAAATTAGAGCAAAAAGGGGAAAACTTGATTGCATCAGGATGCAACACATGAGACCCTTTCTCCATTTCCTTGGCTTGCAAATTGTCCCATAAACGTCATGTTTCGCCATTTTTTAAAATTTTATTTTATTTTTCACTTTGTCAGATGAAGGCCAAGAATTACATCTCCATTGCAATAAGAAAAATAAAAAATCTTCCCAGTATTTGTGCTGAACTTTCCTTGGGTAAAATAATTTTAATTTTTTTTTCTAAGGAAGCAATTTGATTCTGACACTGACACCACTTTAATTACATCAGCTCTCCCCCACAAATTGAGGTTATGGTTAAGTCCCGTTTTAGTAATTTAATAATTTTGCCATTGCATCACTCCAATTATCTCTGGATTTGTTCCAGAGACCTTTTCTCAGTTCAAGTCTCTGGCACTTACTGTTTCACTCCCAATTGCATGAATACTGATTTTTATTTTCTTTTTTTTCCGTGAAGTGGGTGAATGGACAAATATCAGGGGAAGGACAGACATTTTCAATGGGATAAAAGGGCCAAGGGCCAACTCTCTGCCGCTGTGAGGCTGAAGTCCCTGTGCACAGATTGATGGATAGGAGCTGAGGAGAGGGTTTGTCAGGACTTTTTAAAACGAAAATTGTGTCAGAGACGATCCCTGATACCTGGAGTTTCTTGGCAGGCTGGTTGGTTTTGGGCGATGCCAAGCTCAGGGCTGGAAGACTTTCACCCCACTGGGCAGTCTCAGTGCCGCTGCATCCAGGCACCTCTCCAAGACCCACCTCTCCATGGTGGATTTTGCCGTTCCTGTGTAGGGCAGAGCAGGTTAAATGGGGAACCCCGTGGCATGGTGACAGTGCAGCTCGGTGAGAAGGGAGAGGACCATGACCTGCCCAGGATGAGCTGTTTTCTGAGTAGCTTAAACTCACTGGCTTTGTGTCGACCCATCTCAACGGAGCTGTTGGCATGCTGGAGGAAACCTCCATCCGCACATTCAGCCTGGGCTAGCAGTGTGTGGCAGAGCACTAACAGCTCCTTTTTGGCCTGGGACACCCCAAAGCCGCACACAAGGAGTATCCGTTGCAGGCTGCAGTTAATGCATAAGCAAGAGATGCCTTCCACTGCACCCCCAACTCTCTGAGGGGCCCAGAAGCATTCCCCACATCATGCCCTGGCACATGCTTCACATCAGGTTTTACAGCTTATAGCCAACAGTTAAATCAAGCCGTCCTCCTTGTGTCTGACAGTCCTTTGGGTCCTATAGAATCATAGAATGGTCTCGGTTAGAAAAGACCTTTAAGATCATTGATCCAGCCCTAAGTCGTGACACAGTGGCACTGACGGTGCCAGCCAGGACTGTCCTCACCACCTCGCTGACCCACAGTGGTTGCTGCAAGAACAGGCGGTACCTGAGCTGGCCATTTCCTCCAGCAAGTCCAGGTCTGACCCAGCAGAGTTGGTCTCATTCCCCAGCTCCATGGCAGAGAGTGCTGGCTCTTGCTGAGGTTCTTCCCTCCCAGCATTGCTCCTGAGCTGGTGCACAGAGAGATGGGTCAGGCATGCTCTGGTGTTCCCCTTCCCTGCTCCTGCAGTGGGTGCAGGCTGTGATCTGACCCTGAGTAGGGCAGCCCACAGAGAAGCTCTGCATGGTCCATCGCATCCACCGACTGCAAACACTTTCCTGCTGGCATCTCTGACAAATACGCACACCCATACCTTACCTTGCATTTGGATATTGCTTTGCTTGCATTTAGAACCTAAATCTGGCTTTTTATTACTCCTGGAGCAAACCAGTTACTCCTTTTCCTCTCTTGCTCTTGGTCACAGGTGAGCTCCTTTCTCTCTACTGCCATCTCACACCCTCTCTATGTTGTTTCTTCTCATGGCCTGCACAGTTTCTCCAAGCTTTTATTTTACATCTTTACTATTTTTGCCTCAAAACCCCCAAACAACTCCTTTATCCCCTTGCACAGGTTCTGGAAAGGGAAGGAGGAGCCAAACACCAGTGGGAAATACCCCGTGTTTGTCTCCCTCATCACACGGTGGATACAAACCCTCATGTCTGAATTTGCTGAGTTGTTTGAGTCAGCCTGTAGGGGCAAGGAGACCCCAGGAAACTCCTTTTCCAAACAAAACCCTCTAGGATGCCACATCATGGTCCTGGGCACTACCTGCCTGCCTGGAAGCTGAAAGGCAATAGTGGGACTCACCTCCACTGTGGGATGGGTGCTTGATGGTGGCTGCTGGCTTTGGAGGTCCATGGGGTATCCCAAGGAGTCCTGAGGAGGCTGTGGGTGGAGTGGGCTCTGCTCCGAGGTGTGTGCTGGGGGACCCCCAAGGCTTTAGGCTCTACTGCAGCCGGTATCACCATGGGCTGTGACCCACAAAGGGACCTGGGGCTCTTCAGGCTTTGAGCTAGAAGGCAATATTGAGAGCAAGGAGAATCATCAGCCACCTCCTGGTAGTCCTGTGGGCAGCCCTTGGGGTCACCATGCAGCATACCCAACATAGGCTTGTGTAGAAAAAAAAGGGAGAGAAGGGACTTGCAACCACTGCCAAACCTGCATTTCCCTCTGCTGGGGCCTTTGGGGACTGCTGATGTATTTTCCTGACCATGTCAGGCCAACCCATCTGAGGTCAATATGCAGAGACTTGTCCTAAATGTCCTTTCCTGCCCTTTCTCTGCCTTGTTGTCTCACTAGGTAAGGGAACAGCATCCTATGGCTATCAGTGGGTGGCCACAGGCCCCCACGATTGGTAGGCAGAGAGGACAGGAGGTCACCTCAACCGGGATGATGGAGAGTTGTTGAGGCAAAGTGGTGCTGTGCTACTTGCACAGCCTGACTTTCCCCATCACTGCTCGGAGCAGCTCATCCTGCAGGTAGAGGAGATCAGGAAATTTCTCAGTCCTCTGTTGCCGCTGAACCTTGGCCAGAACCTGGAGGCTTTTGTAGATCCGAGTGGAGATTCCCTTCACAACCTAAAGTGGAGGACGGCTGAGGAGCCTGACATGGTCCTCCAAACAGCACTGGGTGGTGAAACAAGGCCTCGGCAGCACTGCCCATATCTCAAGAATATCCTGCAAGCTCCAAGCCCTGTCCAAACCTCAAGGAAGCTCTCACCAGACCTGATATCTATTGTTTCCCCAGCACAACATATCCCATGCAAACAGCTCACACTTGCAAAGCCCTCATGTGCTTTGGTAAATGACCGCTGAATAATAAATATCAGCTATTTGGGGCAATTTCTAGGCTACAGGGTAAGTGCCACATTTTCTCTTGGGAGGTATTTACAGCCTGAGGAGGTTTTGTGACCATGAATGTCCTGGGCTCATAGAGATGTAAAAAGATGAGAAATGAAGGGTGAAGGGGGGATAGACCCTATGGTTCTGGCTTTGGCTTTTGAAACCACCTCAGTGTTCCCAAATTAGGGAAAAGGGGTGGACATGCCAGGGCTCCAGCCTATGTGAAATGAACCCAGGAGTGCTCCTTAAAAGTGCCTCCAGGAACCAATCGCACAAGAAGTCGATCAGTCATGGCTTTCTCTTTGAGCCTGTGGGACCTGAAACAGAAACGCTGCTTTGCTGGGAAGCGTAGGTCGATGGACCAATGCAGGTCGATGGACCAAGATGTCCTCAGCAGCCGTGACCCCTGCTGCCTGCCTGCTCACTGGCCTTGCACCAGCTCTGCAAGGTGCTAGGTGGTGGTGTTGTATTGCCGGGAGCTCGGGAAGACTCGTAGGAGGCACTATTTAAAATGCTTGGCATGAAAAGGACTCAGCCATTGAATGTCCCCTTGAAATTCTTGTGACGGGAGCTGCTGTGCCCTCCAACACCCTCCTTCCCTAGAAGAGAGGGAGCCATGGGTAATTTCGCATATGAAAGGCTGCTCGCCAGAAAGATTTGCTGGAGACAAACTGATAACCCTCCTCCAAGACGGAGCCCGGCAGTTTATTCCCTGTGCTACTCTGGGATTCTGCCTTTGCCTTCCTATTTGCCTCTTGAGGTGTGATTGCTCCAAATGGGGATATTTTTTTACTGCCTGTTGTTTCGGTTGCTGCCCACAAAAAAAGGTCAGTTCAGAGCAGTCTTTCTGTTTCTGCACCAAAATGCTGGCACTGAAAAGACAGACTTACCCTCTTCACCCCCATGCTCTCCAGCTTTTCCTCCAGCACTTCCTCCAGGACGGGGCAAAACTGCTTCAGGAGGTTTGGGTTTCTCTGCAGGGCTTCCAGCAGTCTCCACTTTCCAACCAGGGTGGCCTCCTCCCCATCTGCAGTAGAGGTGGGTGCTGGTACCAGTGCAGTGACAGAGCTGTGTCTTGGGGAGGGGGCTGGTGGGACCCATGTCCCCAAAGAAGAGATGGGTTCCACAAGTCCCAGAGCAAGCACCTGGTTGTTCTCAGGAGATCACATCCCTCTACAGAGGGGCAACTTCCTTCTCCAATTTGATTAATACCTGCCCACAGCTTTTCCAAAATCCACCCACCGACAGCCCAGCAGCTGCCTGGGACAGCTTTCCTGGATGAAGCGTTGGCAGCAAGGCTGGTCATACCCTGCACAGCCAATGGGGGACCAGTGAACTCATCTCTTCTCATGAGCCCTCCACTTCATCACCACCTTTGCCCAGCACCCCCTCATCCTCATCACACAACACCCTGAGCCAAACACCAGCTTCATCCTGGTGCTATTGGGATAGAGATGGTCCCAGCTCTGATACCCACCTGACGATTCTTCATTAACCACCACTTTGGTCACCTCCTGGGTCACTGCAGGGAAGAAAGGAGCCTGTGAGGGTTGCAGAGGAGCCAAGGCCCAGGTCTGGCACCAGTCCTTGGAGAACATCCCTAAGAGAAACCCCAGGGTGCTCACCCACCAAGGCCATTGGCTGGAGGATGTCAGTGGGCAAACAGTCCTCTTCTAGAGCTGGAGTTAAGCATGTACCCCTTGGGGTTTTGCTCATAGCCGCCCTGTTTTATGACCTTTTTTTGCTTTCTGGGCAGCATAGAATCACAGAATGGTTTTGGTTGGAAAAGACCTTTAAGAATATGGAGTCCAACCATCGAACCAGCCCTAAGTATGCCACTAGACCACGTCTCTAAGCATGACACCTGGTGAGGTCTGCTGCTGCGTTGCTGAGAAGTCCCCATTTTCTTTCCCTGACATTTGATTCTAGAAAACCCAGATGAAGAAGAAGCCATGGCATGCCTCAGCTCTTTATTTTTTATGCAAATAACCACTGCATCATTTTGGACGAGGCAAGGTTGTCTGTTCGCTGTGAGTGCTTGATGGAGATCTCATTCCTTTGATTTATGGCTACAATGTGAATCCCACCCAAGAGACAAGTTGGGTTTGAGACAGCACCCAGAGCTGTGGTCTATGCTGTTGAGGCAGATCAAAGGACTTCTTGTTGCAGTCAAAGGACAGGAAGGTGTCCACTCCACGGCTTTGTGTGAGAGGACATGAGGCCAGCTCCACAGCACACTTTTGCAGATGGAGACAGAGAAGACGTTGTGGTCCTAAGGGCTGTTAGCTTTGAAAAAAATATCTAGACCCAAATTGATTCACTTTAAAATATATTTTTTACCTTCAGGTTTGCTTGCAGATAGTTGCTTGATCTGTAAAGAAATAAAATGAGGCATCATTTGAAGATCATTTCTTTGTCTATGATTTTGGGTAACGTTTCCTCTCTCTGCAGAGTAATATTATTAAATGCATTCAAAAAAGGAGCAGAAAATAGCAAGACCCTGAAGTGGGCACATACACACACCAAGTGCTATTTCCCTTCAGCAGACTCTACAGGGGGTTAGCTTCAGGGCTTTCCTTCCCATAATATGATCACTAGCACATTGGATGCCATCCTGCTATACCCATGTGCTATTCGCAGGCCCGACAGCGAGTAAAAGATGCTCCAAATTGTAACACAGAGCGTTGCTCTGGTGAGCTACATCCTAGCAGGCAGTTTGTGCCGGACAATATTCATGTAATGCTTCATGTTTAATGAGGGTAAAAAAGAGCCAAACATAGCAAAGCATTACAGAATGGTCTTGAAATTAGGCTTACTCTTAACTCAGCAAGTATTTTGAGGCTGCTTAAACAACTGCTTAAGCCCTCTTGATGAACAAAGACTACCTTTTTTTTTTTTTCAATTTCACTTGCCGCTTTGTCCTGGGACTTTGTGACCTTGAGCTGCTCTCTGAGGTGGGTGCTGAAGACACCCTTCTGCTCATGGGCATGGTCCATAACCTGCTGCTGGTCTGGCGATGGGGCAGCATGGTGTGTCTTGTTCACTTTCTTCAACTAAGAGGGGGAAAAAAGGAATAAGAAGACTTGAACATGGTAAAAATGGGTTTGGAACCACCTCTTCCCTTCACCAGCAAGGGCAGTTCTCTGGATTTTTATTTGTTATTTGACATGCCCTTCCAAGGGCAGATCTGGCCTTGCAGAATATGTATGGCCAGCTTCAAAGTCTGCCAGTGACAAGATCATGTCTTCTCATTGGTTGCGATAGGACATGGCCCATTGATACCTGAAACCAGAGCTGACACCAGGCACCCACAAAGCAGATGCACACAGTGATGCATGTACATGGGGCCACCTCCACTCAAATGCACCTCCTGGGATGCACAGGACAGGTAAGGCTGTGGGTACCACGCTGCTCACCTGCCCTGCTGTCCTCTCCTGCTCACCCTGCAGCTCTGCCCAGCTCCGTGTCCACCACTGCGCCTCTTCACTGTCATCATCCCGCAACGTCCCCAGGTTGGACACCGCCACCTCTCTGGAGGTGAAACTGCTCCTGCAGTTTCTGAAGTGGGGAGAGGACGGAGCTGAGTGTCCCACAGGAGGATCCACTTTCACAGAAACACCAAATATTAGGAGTTGGAAGGAACCTCAAAAGATCATCTAGCTCAACTCCCCTGCCAGGATTACCTAGACTAGGTGGTCACTTTTGTCCTGGGGAACCCCACCTGGGCCAGCCACTGCCTCCAACCCCCAGGCACGCATGTGCCCCCAGAGAAAGAAATGAGGCATCTTTGGGCTATGAACCTGGAAGGACCAGGTGAGGCAACATGCTTGGACCTTGAGAAACACATGGTGGGGCTCACTTACCCCCTCCATGGCACTGTTCCTGCTGGCCATGTCCTTGAATGACACAAGGAAGAGCTGTCTCAGCCCATCTATCTCTTCACACAGCTTCATCGTCTCCTCCTCCTTCCACCTTTCCAAATCTTTCCTGCCTTCCTTTTCTTGCTGGCGAGCTCTCTCTGTTTCCTAAAGGGAATGGAGAAACTGAGGCAGTAGATGTCTCGGTCACAGAGCAGAAGCACCAATGGCTGGCCCTGGTGCCAGCAGGATGAGCACTGACACTCTCATCACACCCATCATGGCACATAGCCTGCCTGCATGCTGGGGAGCACCAGGAATTTTTGGAGGCCAAATTTTCCCAAGAAATAAGCATGAGCCCCACCATAAAATATTTTTCAGTGCCTTTTTCACCTGTGCTTAAAAAATGCTCTCATGTTTCAACACTTCTCCCCACTTCTTGCCCTTCCCTGTACCTGCTCCCTGCATAGCTTCCCTGCTTCCCTCCCTGCTTCCAGCTGCTGCTGCACCTCCTGCAGTTTTGCCTTCAGTTCCTTCACCTCATCCTCCATTTGCTCCAGTGCCTTTGTCTTCTGACGCCCTGTAAAGTCCGGGGAAACTGAGGCACTGTGTTCTGCCAGCTCCTATGGGGATTTTGCCTGGGGAGGGGGATGAATCCTACTAAAGCCCTTATTGTTGTGTTTTGTTGTATGTTGTCAGCATGGAGAGATGAGCAGCTCGTGGAGACATGTGGCTTTGCACTGGGCTTGCTCTCTCCAGAACACTTGGACATTTCAGGCTTCACCGAGGAAGGTGTCACTGGAGCAATGCTCAAGGTGTTGCATTGCATCAGCCCTGGGCTGGGGTTGCAGCCTGCCAGCAAACAGCAAAAGCAGGTTTTTATCTGTGAAGTTTGAGCACTGGGCACAAGCAAAGCTTTGAGAAGGCTCCATGGCTCTTGCACGGCATGTTACACCTGTGGTTTTGCAAAGAAGCATCAATTCCTTGCCAAGAAAAGGGGCACTGTGAAGGTGATCCCCTCTCCCACTCCAGAAAAACTCTCTCCCAGACTCTCCAATGCAGCTCCATCCCCATGGTACTGTGGAATCTTTGGGTGGAGAAGATCCTTAGGGAAACTGAGGCATGGAGAGGAGCTGTAAATACACGTGCAGGCTCGTATTTGAGAGCACATCCTCCCTGCGATTGAGGGAAAAGCAGAAAGTAGAAGCAGCAGCAGAGAAGATAGACGTTACAAGAAGCTGTCTTTAACTTCCTGTTGTTACTCTGCTTTCCAGCATCTACATCCCATGGAGTGGAAAACCTGCCTTGGGAAAGCGAAAGGGAGAAATTGTCCCTGTGCTCACCCCCCTCAGTGGCCTCTGAGTGCTGGCATTGTACATGGGTTTTCAGGAAAGAGACGTCCATGAAGGCTTTGTCACAGAGGTGGCACTGGAGAAAGGGAGAAAGTCAGTGGGATCTGCGGGAAAGGGCAACTCCTCATGGCCCCTGCAAGGCCAAGAGACATGGCTGTGGCCTGGGAAGCACCGAGATGGAGGTCTCAGGAGGTTCCTCTCTCTGAAACAGGAGGCCTAGGGCTACTCAGGGAGGTGGTAGAGTCACCATCCCTGGAGGTGTTTAGAAGGTGAGGAGATATCATGCTTAGGGACATGGTCTGGTGGTGGACTTAGGGCTGGTTCGATGGTTGGACTCGATCTTAAAGGTCTTTACCAACCAAAACCGTTCTGTGATTCTATGATTCTATGAGAAGGCAGAAGCCAAGATGGTGCAGGGATACTGCTCGTGGTGGGGGTGAAAGAAAAGCTGTTTTCCCCATCCAAGCAGTGCAGTAACAGGGCCAAGGCATCAGTGAGGTCCTGGTCATGATGGAGTCCTGCACTGGCAGGAATGATCAGGCTGTATGAACCTAAATCACCTGGTTTGGGTGGCTTTTACTCTCCAGGAGTAAGCAAGAGGGCTGATTTGGTGATGGGGAAGAGCAGACAAAAAGGGACGGCCCTGCTGGAAAGGTGGGAAAAGCTCAGTGGGAGAGCAAAGAGCATCCCACCCAGTGACATGTGTTACTCTCCTTCCATCACGCACCTTGCAGTAAGCATTGGGACCAGCTTGGAGGAGGAGCTGCTGCGTGGCAAGGAGCTTCTTCCACCTCCTGCTTTCCTCCTTGGCCCTCTGAAGCTGCGCTGCCTGCTCCACTGCCAGCTGCTGGGTGCAAGCCAGCTCAGCACGGGCACCTTGGAGGTTTTGGGCGAGCTGGGCCAGGCTGGTTCCCAGGCGCTCCTGGCAGTGCAGCAGGTACTCAGTGCTCAGCTGGGCCATCCTCAGCACCGTCAGCAGGATGGGGTCTGCCGGCTGCCTGCAGTGGGGGCACCGCTCCCCGGCCAGGTTGCAGAAGGTGACAGCAGCGATGTGCTCTTGGAGCATGGCCACATCCACCTCCTGGGCAACCCGCTCCATGTTGATGGCACTGAAGCGATGCCAGTCCACGCCGCTCTGGCGAGGTTGGAAGCAGAAGGCGGGGGTGTCCACTGGGATGGGAAGTCCTAGGGATGCCCCCAGCATCTCCACAGTCCTGGGCTGGTGCAGTGGGTGGTAAATGGCTGCAGAAAAGGGCTGGGAGACAAAAGGGATGAGTTAGAGCTGAACCCACAGCCATCCTCCATCTCTGCTGCAGCCCCCACCAGCCTGTAGGCATTGGGGAGGGCTTATATTATGTGACAGCAAACAAAAATACCCCCTTACTTTTCCCTCCTCATCCAGAACTGCTGCTGTTTAAACTAGCAGACAGCTAAATGCCATGCATTCACTCACTCACTCCCGCCCTCCCCAGTGGGGTTGGGGAAATTTCTGGTGGGGTGAGGGAAAGAATCAGAGGAGAAAGTTCAGAACACTCGTGGGTTGAGATAAAAACAGTTTAATGATTGAAATAAACTAAACTAATAACAATAGCAACAATAAAATTGTAATAATAATAACAACAATAATAAACCACATAAAGTGATACTCAGCTCATACAGCAGTTGTGGGCTTTGTGCTCCCAGCAGTGAACATCAGATAAGATAATGAACATTGTGAGCACGACAGCTCCAGCAAAAATGCAATGGTCACAACGAGTGGAGACGTAGGCCTTGGGAGTGGAATGATGGGTGAGACCCTCTGTGGTAGACAGCCATCGAGGAAAGAGAACTGCCCCCAGCAACCAGTAAACTTTACAATTACAGTGAGCGTGATGTTTATGGTAAGCAATAATTCTGTTGGCCAGCTTTGGTCAGCTGCCCTGGTTTTCACTTCCCCTCGTTTCTGCACCTGGCTGACTCAGACTGCTACATTGCTTGATCACTATGGCAACATGCACAGCAGGGCTGGGCAAAAACTAAAATGAAAAATGTTTCATCAACTTTTTTCCCCACTGAATCGGGTGCTGTAGTCTTCTCAAAAATGCAGCTTTCCTGCATAGAAAATTGATTCTATGATTCCATCACAGTGAAACCGGGACAGCTTTGCCAAATTCTGAAAAAAAAAATTAATTCTGCCAGTTTGTTCACCATCTGCTTTTTGGTAAAGGGAGACTTCTTAAAAAAGTATCACAGCACAACTCTTTACAATAACCTGTTCTGAATGAATTTGTAAATCCCTCCTTTGGGGAAAGAGAACTCACCTCTTTTCAAACAATACACAGTAACCAGTTCAATATCATAACACTGCTGCCATCTGTGATGCCTTGCTCTGACCTAAACCCCCATCATTTCCAGAAGTGCTGTTTGCTTGCTTTCCTAACTGTGTCCTAAACAGTAATTAAGCAATTGTAATTAAAACACATAGCTTTAAATCTGTGAAACAGACCTATATTGTTCTCAGCTCCCAGCTAGGGATCTGCTGCTCCATGTTGCAGTTTCCCCTCTGCTACATCCACCTTTTAGATACATCATTTTTTAAAAAAAGCTCTTTGCCAAAAGGTCACTTACCATATTTTTGGATATGGATGGGGGTCTGGCACAGGACATGGAGCAGAGCAACCAGAGCGGTGCTGAGGTGTTGCTGGGTGTGCTGTGTACATGACTCCCAGCCTGCGGCTACTTTTGTACTCATGGGACAAAGAGGGACAGGCAGCCCCAGGAGACAGTGACAAACAGCATGCACGGTGTGACAAAGTCATCCTGGGCTCTCCTCTGCTGGCTGAAAGGAAGAGGGGGCAGTGACTCTCACTGCCTGTTTGCAGCAGAAAGAGTGCCAAAATAAGCTTTTATTATTTTATTTTGGCCCTAATTTCAGTCCCAAAAATGCTGGGTGCAAGTAGGCTCCAAGGTTGCCTTTCTCCCTCTACCAGGCACAGGAAGGTGGTGGCAAGGGGCTGCTCATCCAACCCAGCCCTGCCTGCAGGGTTTTTCGACCCAGAGTCTTGCAGAGACACTTTCTGGGGTGCCTGCACATGTCCTTGGATGAAATAATCCTGTTCTCACCTTTCTTTTTGATGCTGGAGCCAACACAGGGTTCCCCTGGCATTATCGGGGGTTGCTCAGGGTGGAGCCCGTTCCCGCTGATACTGCAGCCAGTGACGTCCACCGGCCCATGAGCGTTTTCCATCCCATGGTGCCAGTTTCCTACCCCTACCCCAAGGTCTCCGCTGCCTTCGTTGCCTTCCCATGCCCTCATAAGGCTGGTTTGCTCAGAGCAGGGGGTGTCTCCCAGCTGTACGTAAATACTGGGATCAACGACTTCTCTGAACCAGCCTGCATCTTCCCATGCTTATATGCAACACATAAGGTCTATATAAGAGCCTGGGAGGCTCTTTTAAGCATTTTTTAGCTCTACACTAATTTTCCATGACACACTATTCTTTCCCACCCTTTGCTCTCTTATTCCACTGCCTCAACACAGCAGGAGACAAGATCCAAAGCACCAGATCAGCAAGTCCCTTGCATGGCCACCAAAAATCATTATTGTTATTATTGCTGTGATACTGTCAGCAGCACTTCAGTGTCAAATTAATCCAATTCATTGCATCAGGCAAAAAAGAGTGTACATATATATACATTTGCACACACATATGCATGTACAAGTGTAAATATAGCCCTGACTCACAGCTACACGTTACGTAGACCTGTTGAGCAAGGTTGAGGTTTTGTTGCATGAATGAACTGCTCCTTAAAGAGCAGTTCACAGAACACTAATTAAAAATCCCCTACCCCAGGGGTAGGCTGTTGTTGCATAACCTTGTTAATATTAACAAGGTCTTCACGCACCAGCGCCAGCCGCAGCTCACCTGGCCGTGGATGCCAACAGGCCGCTCAGCAGCACGGCTAGGATTACCCCATTGCCTGCTTCTGGTACAGAATTTAGAACTTCTATTTTTTTTTTAAGAGAAGTTTGGCCAGCGACTTGTGAGCTAACTTCTGCAAGAGGTAAGCTACATTAGCAAAATAGTGACTTATTTTCAGAAGCTTTGATTAAGCAGACCTTGAACAAGAATCTCCTACATCCGGATAATGAAGGCCTAATGAAGACCTAATTCAATGCGTCCTGATAACCAAGGAACTTCCTGCAGTTTCCCAAGATCAACATGTGCTTTGCATGTGCCTTCTTACCATACATGGGGCAAAGCAACTTGAGTTCAGCTAGAGGACGTGAGTATGTGACCACCGACTCAAATTAGTGGGCATGCGTGATTGGGAGGAGAATATGTAAATAAACTCCAGGAAGTCATTATCATAAGACTCCCTCTCCCAGGAAATATTATGAATATGTGTATCTTTGTAAAGTGCATGGATTTGATTCCAGGTATGCATGAATTAGGTGGAGCTATCCTCCATGTACCCGGCACCATTAATAAAGAATATCTGCTTTCAAAAACTCCAAAACAAATCTTAGAGAGTATCTGTAAGCTGTAATTTTTGGTATCAAACATTGGCCTGGAGAGTCCAGGTCTATCGCAGAGGTAGCAGCTGGTATCACCCAGCAGGGCTTGGAGCTGAAGGTGGCCAACTGCACCATTTCCACTCTACTGTGTAAAAACCAGCCCCACTGAACTGCTGGTAGAGCTGGGTCTCAGAAAACGTGATGGGCTTTCATTTTCCAGGCTGGCAGGTGGTGTGTTTGCTGTCCCAGCTCATGGCTGCTGGGCCAGGCTTCTGTGTGGTCCTCTTCCCTGCAACCCTCAGCCTTTGGCAAGGAAATTTCTCCTTGTTTCCTTCTCCTCCACCCTTCCTCACCTTCCTGAACTCTTCCAGGGCTTATTTGGTCCCTGCCAAGTCTAAGAGTGCCCCAAGTGCCAGCATCCCTCTGCTTCCTTGCTCATCTGGAAGCCTCCAAACTTTGGAAGACACCTTACCACAAAGCAGAGAGGTGTCAGGAGACTCAGACCTACTCGAGCAGCTACCTCATCTCCTCCAGACCACCCTCAAAAGCAGCCATCACCTCCCTCCCTTTCTCAACTTCTCTCGCCAAAACCTAAGCTTCTGGGACTCACCCCAGGTGGGCGCAGGAAGCCTCCCATGAGGGACCTTTTGTGGGGTTGGCTGCGCTTGCTGCCATCAGCCCAACTCCTTGTAGCTAGAACTTTAATTTTGAATCTGCATTATATGTGTATGTTAATGAATAATCCATCTGCTAACAACAAAATAATGAAGACTGGTCAGTCTGACTGAAAGACTGAAAACCGGATCAGTTTGGTTCAGAAGAGTCTGTGGGCTAAATATCCCTAGAACATGGATACATGGACATGAGCAATGTCTTGTTTCTGGAAATAATGGACCTAATGAAATTGTCCCTGATTTAATCACAGACTTGGCATAGGAAGTAGAAAATCAGGTATCCTTAGGCAAACTGACTTCACTATAATACTAAAATATCCACCCACAGGTCAAAAAGACCCCTGTCTAGTTAAAGACCATCACTGTACAGGCACAGTTCAATCTGGGACTGAATCAGCAGATAAAAATCATATGTAAATTGCTAACCAATCACTGTAACTAGGACTGTTGAATCTTATAAACTTTGTGTATAAATATTACAAAAACAGCATTTGGGGGTGCTCAATTTGTGGAAATCCACCAAACACCCAGGCCTGAACAAAAGGCAACATCTCTCCTGAATGGGTGAGAATGGGTTCATTACACACCAGACAATGAAGCCGCTTTTCAGACAACATCCTGACAGCAAAAAACAGGGCAGGAGAGAGAGAAGCGAGGTGGGGTTGGACCTCATCCGCAGAGGAGCTGCTATGGGACACAGCCGAGCCTCGGAAATGCTTCTCACATGAGCTCATCTGCCACGGGAGCTCGAGTGGGTCAAGTCTCTTCCCATTCCCCATTCCCAACTCCCCCTTCCACGGACACAGCCATCACCCAGAGAGGTGAGATACAGGACAGAAAAAGGTAAATACTCACTTGTTGCCAGAATCAGGGCGAGTTACTGAAGTGGAGGACAGGAGCAGAGCAATGATGGTAGGCGGTGAGAGGCAGCTGGGAGGGGAAAATGGGAAGGACTGTCTGGGCTGTTAACCCTGCATCTCCTCAGACCTGAAAAGGCAAAGTCAGGGAGGAAAAGCAGCTCTAAATACCACA